TTGAAACAATGCAAGTTAAAAACAATATTTTGTGTATATATACTCGCATTTTATATATATATATATATATATACAGGTGCTGGTCATAAAATTAGAATATTGTGATAAAGTTCATTATTTTCCATAATGTAATGATAAAAATTAAACTGTCACATATTTTAGATTCATTGCACACCAACTGAAATATTTCAGGTATTTTATTGTTTTAATTTTGATGATTTTGACAAACAGCTCATGAAAACCCAAAATCCCTGTCTCAAAAAATTAGAATATTATGAAAAGGTTCTCTGAATGAGTAATTAACCTCATCATCTGAATCAACAAAGTAACTCTAAACACCTGAAAAAGATTCCTGATGCCTTTAAAAAACTCCCAGCCTGGTTCATTACTCAAAACCGCAATCATGGGTCAGACTGCTGACCTGACTGCTGTCCAGAAGGCCATCTGGACAGCCTCAAGCAAGAGGGTGAGAAACAGAAAGAAATTTCTAAACGAATCGGCTGTTTGCAGAGTGTTATATCAAGGCACCTCAGTGGGAAGTCAGTAGGAAGGAAAAAGTGTGGCAGAAAACGCTGCACAACGAGAAGAGGTGACCGGACCCTGAGGAAGATTGTGGAGAAGGGCCGATTCCAGACCAAATTCAATTTTCATCTCCATAAAGCTTTTCAGCAGATGGAAGCATGAAGTGCTCCAAAATCTCCTGATAGCTGCTGCATTGACCTGCCCTTGATAAAACACAGTGGACCAACACCAGCAGCTGACATGCCACCCAGACCATCACTGACTGTGGGGACTTGACACTGGACTTCTGGCATTTTGGCATTTCCTTCTCCCCAGTCTTCCTCCAGAGTCTGGCACTTTGATTTCCGAATGACATGCAAAGTTTGCTTTCATCCGAAAAAAGTACTTTGGACCACTGAACAACAGTGGTCCAAAGTGCTGCTTCTCTGTAGCCCAGGTCAGGCGCTTCTGCCGCTGTTTCTGGTTCAAAAGTGGCTTGACCTTTGACCTGGGGAATGCGGCACCTGTAGCCCATTTCCTGCACACGCCTGTGCACAGTGGCTCTGGATGTTTCTACTCCAGACTCAGTCCACTGCTTCCCCCAAGGTCTGGAATCGGCCCTTCTCCACAATCTTCCTCAGGGTCCGGTCACCTCTTCTCGTTGTGCAGCGTTTTCTGCCACACTTTTTCCTTCCTACTGACTTCCCACTGAGGTGCCTTGATATAACACTCTGCAAACAGCTGATTCGTTCAGAAATTTCTTTCTGTTTCTCACCCTCTTGCTTGAGGATGTCAGTGATGGCCTTCTGGACAGCAGTCAGGTCAGCAGTCTGACCCATGATTGCGGTTTTGAGTAACGAACCAGGCTGGGAGTTTTTAAAGGCCTCAGGAATCTTTTTCAGGTGTTTAGAGTTACTTTGTTGATTCAGATGATTATTTTTATTTTATTGCTCGTTCAGAGAACCTTTTCATAATATTCTAATTTTTTGAGACAGGGATTTTGGGTTTTCATGACCTGTTTGCCAAAATCATCAAAATTAAAACAATAAAATACCTGAAATATTTCAGTTGGTGTGCAATGAATCTAAAATATATGACAATGTAAGTTTTATCATGACATTATGGAAAATAATGAACTTTATCACAATATTCTAATTTTATGACCAGCACCTGTATACGGACATGTCAGTGCGCGTCTCCGAACAGGAGTGTGTGGAACTATACAGCAAGTTTCATGCTTTTAACCCCAGGGAAGAATGTATTTATGAAATATGGTGTTCACTTATAGGATGGAATAACCACAAAAGTCGTGTTGTAATTCCAAAAGTTTCCCAAAACTGAGTTTCACATTTAAACTAAACTTAAGTGGGTAAACAACTGCCTATATTTTCCTAAATCATCACTATATTTTTTTTCTCGATGTGAATTTGTTTTTTAAATGCAGCTTTCAAAGGAGTACGGTCCTGTGTTCAGCGTGAGAAAAGGCAGTGCGAGGCTGGTGTTTGTCTCTGGACTCAAGATGGTCAAAGAGGCTCTTGTCAGCCAGCTGGACAGCTTCGTCGATCGGCCAATTGTTCCCCTTTTTCACGTTACCTTCAAGGGCCTTGGTGAGTAGCCAAACAAGTGTATTAATTTATTATTCTCTGCTGAAAATTCCATTGTCTTTGGTCAGTTTTCATGCAAGCTTGTCCCTACGCCTAGCAGATCTTGGGTGAGAGACATTGGGAGATGCTGAATAGGTCACCAGTTTAACCTAGAGCAACACAACCTATTTTACACTTTAGTGTTCATTTATTTGAAAATATTTGTTCTTAAAATCTATTTTAAAATACTCTGATGTAACGTTATCGCAGGTATAGCTCTGAGTAACGGGTACTTGTGGAAGAAACAGAGGAAGTTCGCCAACGCTCACCTTCGCTACTTTGGAGAGGGACAGAAATCTTTAGAAAAATACATAGAAGTGGAGTCCAGCTTTCTTTGCGAAGCCTTCAACGATGAGCAAGGTAAGCAGACTTTAACGGAAACCAGTGAAAGAATTACGATTTACGCTCATTTAAATGTGATTTCTCAATATTTCCAGGAAAGCCATTTAACCCCCACTACATCCTAACAAACGCAGTGAGTAACATAATCTCATCTGTGGTCTTTGGACATCGATTTGAGTACTCGGACCCAAGCTTTCGGGAAGTCCTGGAGCTGGACAACGAAGCCGTTATTCTTTCTGGTTCCCTGCGGACTCAGGTATTCTTTTCTACCCGCTGAAAAGAAACTCTGCCTGGCTTGTCTGCAGCTGATCTGAGAGTCTGTCCCTTCATCTTCAGTTGTTTGACGCCTTCCCTGGACTGATGCAGCACCTGCCAGGGCCTCACCAGACCGTGCATACCAACTACAGGAAGATCCTGGTCTTTTTGAAAAAAGAGATAGAGAAGCACAGAGAGGAGTGGAATCCAGATGATCCTCGGGATTATGTCGACGTCTACCTGTCAGAGATGGAGAAGGTGAAAAGTTCATACGACATGAGACTTCTGTCGTGCGGTTTTGACGAAACACTGAAAAGCTTTGAGTTGCTGCCGTATAATTGGTCATTTGACTAGTAGAGATAAACAATTGAACAGATGAATGGTGTAATATTCATTAACATAATTTAGCAGATCCAATAGTCCACGAACACCACCAAATGGGTGGTGTTCATCAAGAAATCAAAACAGAAAAGTAACTGCTGGGTTCAACAAAAAAATAGCCATGGAGACGGTCAAAAACAAAAACACAGCTGTCTGTTATCTGCAGCCATCCATGCTGCATGTTTGCCATATTTCTGAAACAGTAACAAGAAGCTGTGATGCAAATGTTCCCTGCTGGGTAGCCGTCAGCCATGCTTCATTTTTGGCGTCTTGAGATAGTCGGATTCGTCAGCAAACCCTTAGAAGCTGGTCAACCATGGAAAAAGTCCACTGCAGGACATTGATCACTGGCAAGAGAAACTTCACACAAGCTGCGTGAATTATGTTTAAAGTGAGAAATGTTAGCAGAGCTCTTGTTGTAATGAGATTAAATTCCAATATTTTTTGATGTCTTGTTAGAAAAAAGAGGATCCCCAGGCTGGCTTCAACACTGAAACGCTGCTGGTTAGCACTCTTGACCTCATCGAGGCTGGAACAGAAACCACTGCCACCACATTGCGCTGGGCCCTTCTGTTCATGTTGCACTACCCAGAGATACAGGGTCAGCGGGTTGTCACAAAACTGAAATATCCCAACTAAAACGGTGTTAGATTTCAACGCCCTTCTTCCTCTTCCGTCCTTTTTTCTCAGAGAAGGTCCAAGCAGAGATAGACAGAGTGATCGGGCAGTCTCGTCAGCCCACCGTGGCCGACAGGCCGAACTTGCCCTACACCGACGCCGTCATCCACGAGGTCCAGCGGATGGGAAACATCGTTCCCATGGGATTTCCTAAAATGGCGAGTAAAGACACAACACTGGGAGGATACTTCATTCCTAAGGTAGGAGAACACGTACCTCAGTTAAAACTAAATTTTATGTGACGAAATCGTTGGGTAGCCGCTGATGCCTGAAACGTGTCTCGTTGTTCAGGGAACATATATGACGACAATCCTGGCATCTGTGCTGTTTGATAAGAACGAGTGGGCGACTCCAGATGTCTTCAATCCCGAGCACTTCTTGGATTCAGAGGGAAAGTTTGTCAAGAGAGATGCTTTCTTGCCATTTTCAGCAGGTTGGTTACAAGGTTTCTGTTCAAAGCTTGCTCTCCTCTGTGTTTCTGTGCAATATTCACTGCAGAGTTCCTTCTTTTTGCCAACCTAATTGAGGACATTTGAGTATTAAATGTTTAACTTGGAAATGCGAGGTTGTCTGTATGCTCCACAAACCATAGAAGAGTACAACACTGAAGTTAGCTGTTGATTTGAGTGATAAAAAGGCTATTTAATTGTTTTCTTTTCTGGCCTGTGAACTAACTTAGGATGAGCAACATTTTAAAATCATGACAGAAGCGGTAAAGCACAGTTTTTGAGCTTGCATGCTGTCCACTTCAGTTTAACAATTTATATATTCAGTCTATATTTGTTATTTAAAGTGGACTGGAGGTCGAATCAGATACAGAAGAGTCAAGTTTGAAGTTTCAAAGAAATGTTTTTATGTGAAAACTCTCATCACAAATGAAACAAAACTAAATACTGATGGGTTAAACAGTCAAGTAGGTACTTAAATGTTTCTTTTACAAATGAAATATATTTTTAGCACGTTCCTGTTTTGTAAATGCATAAAATGGAGGCGAACATCGTCACCAATTAATAATTTTAGAATCCCGCAGATTTTTTTGAGTTCTACGTGGGTCAGCCCCAGATCCAATCGCCACCTACCTAAGAAAAGCAAAAGACGCACCGACGTCGCCTTTAAGCTCGTCATCAAAAATAAATGCACATGTACAATATGCTATAGCATATGCTGATCAAGCACGTCCCATTTCTCAACGCAGGTAAACGCATGTGTTTGGGGGAACACCTGGCCAAAATGGAGCTCTTCGTCTTCTTCTCAGTTTTGCTGCAGCGCTTCACCTTTTCCCCGGTTCCAGGAGAAATGCCTAAGCTGGAGGGCGTGATGGGCTTCACTTATTCCCCCGAGGAGTTCAGATTCCTGGCTGTGCCACGCTAACATGGGTTTCGCATACTTCTCATTGGGACAACAGCGCTGTATTAAAAATGTTTTCATTGGTCTGATGATGTATTCTAATCATAATTGTCTGATGATGTATTCTAATCATAATTGTCTGATGATGTATTCTAATCATAATTGTCTGATGATTAATATGATAATCATCAGATAAATGTTTTTTTATTGGCTGTAAGCCAATAAAAAAAACTGAAATTACTGAAAAACTGAAATTACTGAAATTATAAGGTTTTCCTTATAATTTCAGTCAAATTCAGTCAAATTACTGAATTTGACTAAATATGATAACATTTGGTAGTTTAAAGTGTTAATAGAAAAACCACAAAAATACGTGGATCAAAACTCTACTTTGCTATTTTAACCTTAGTAACATGTGATTTCTTTATCTGTGTGGAGCCAGAGAGTTTTACGATGCATCGCCCTGATACATCACCAATCTGTGTTAGTCTGTGATAAATATATTCTTGTAAATGAAACACATGTCTTAGTCATGCTGCACAAGCAGATCTGTGAAGTTGGTTCTGTATCTTTAAATGTCTCAGATTTGCTGCCGCATGAGAGCAATGTTCAGCTGTCTGCAAAGCAATTTAATCACGATACGCGTTTTGTGTTCTGGAGCAACGTAAGCACAATCTGTTGATCACTCTAATAGTAATTTGGTGAATGTAAAAAAATAAAAAGTAAACTATTGAGAGAGAGGATGGTTGAAGTATTTAGATTGTAATTTGTGTGCGATGTTTTATGTTCATCTCATTTCAAGACGATTTCATAACAGCTTAACATCGAACCAAAGAGAGAAGGGAAAATGTTGCATCATGGCAAAAGATAAACTTTTCATTCTTGGAATGTAATAAAGTGTTTATAATATGAACATTTGTAGTCTTTGAAATGGTGATTCATTTGTCAGACATTTTTTGCATTACCGATAAGTGACAGTTCAGCTCAAAGAACAAAGTGGAGAAGAAGTGAACTCTGCTGGGAAAAAAATAACAGTCAGTTTCTCTTATGACAACATTTGATAAATTCAGTGATTTTGCTGAATAATATTTGTGTTAGAGGCTGGGAGCTTTTTCTGCACAGTGTTTAGTTAAGCTCCACATAACAGCCCCGTAAAGCACAACTCATGTCTGTCCGGTTTGACCGTGAAACCGCCAAACGTTTAGCTTCAGCTTAGTTAAAATAACAAAGTAGTCGTGTCCAATTCCAGTCCCTTTGAGCCGATCACCTTTGAGCCGATCACCTTTGTCTTTAATCCCAGCACCAAGCCTTTCAGATTAGGTCTTTATTACTACTGCACACCTAAAGATCTGATTCTCAGCAGATTTTTGTTGGTAAAATAGTTCAAGCTCAGTCAGATTGAGCTGTTATGTATTTTTCTATTCTCTTCACAATTTTGGAGTATTTAGTGTCGACCTGTCAAATAAAACACAGCGTATGATTTTTGCAGGCACACATCTGACATTCCTCCAATTTTCTCAAGTTCCAGCTTGTTGAAACTCCTGGACATTAAATCTCCTGGGTGCCTTTTACCACTGGTGCACTTTGTGTCGTTGGGCCTGGCTCTGCTTACTTGGGAACATCTAATCTCTCATTTAGTTTTATCACAATCGGTAGCAAAGCTGGAGGATTCAAGAGTGCACAAACTGGCTGACGAATTAGGGGAGATGCCAACAGGAAGCCTTCCAAAACTGTCATTCTTACTAAATACAGACAAGTAATTCAGACTCTGAGCTAGTCGGGACACAGAGACCCTGTTTTATGTTTGTCCATCATATTTAATATCCATTATCACATTGTCTGAACTCTTAACAGGGATAGATAAAAGAAGGTTTTATCTTCCCTGGATTACAAAGGTTAGGCTTGTCAAAGGGCATGCAGGTGCGCTCTGCAACATTTGCACCACTTTCCCCTTTGCACAGCCTAAGGTGTGCTGTGATTTTCAGTTGCCTGCCAGGCGGCCGACACTGCAGACTTTGACTGTAAACAGGCATTGCAAAAACAAGAAGACTGTTGAGATAAGCATTTTCTTTTTTTCTGCTGCAGCCCGTTTTTTGCGCGCTTTAACTATGTGGCTTTATGATTTTTTGATGAGCTTTGACCTGAAGGGGCTTTTTTTGTTTCTTTTATCATTTCTTCTGATAGCTGATTACGTGAAGAACAGGAAACCATCAAACTTTCCTCCAGGACCAAGAGCTCTTCCCTTCGTGGGAAATATCTTGACTTTGGACAGCAAGCACCCACACGTTTATTTCACCAAGGTATCGCTTTGCATTAAGAGCCTAAAGTTATAGCTTTGTTTGGCTAAATTCATTGTGAAATGTGAATTAAAAAGCTGTTTTCAGGTGCCCTGAAAACAACTTTCTCTCTTTTTTTTGTGGGATTCAAACATTTCTACTGATGATAAATTCTGCTGTGAAATATTAAAGTTTGTAAATGTTCTTTTTACAACATTTTCAAAAGGTTGCTCCGATGAGAACCGCCCCCATTTCTAGGGCGGATGACCAAAATCAAATAATATATTAAAGAATTTCAGTAGTTGAATTAAGCTTTAGGGAGGCTGGGAGACGGGGCTGGCAAAAGAATGACAAGAGTTAAATATTAACTAAGGACGGACTGGGTAGATACAGAACCAAGCAAATAGTTGTTGCAATTTGTTAGATTTCTTTTTTTTTAATTCACAGTAAATATACATTGTGGTAAAAAATGTTTTTACATATTTTGCTGTTTGTCAATTTGCCACATTTAAATTTTTCAAATGATTAAATTTAAGGAAAAAGGTAACTTGCATACATAAAAATGTGGTTAAGTGATGATTTCATCTGTGATTGATCACAGATGAAATCTGTGTTTATCTTCCTCTAAGACAGAGGTTCCCAAACTGTGGGGCGCACCCCCTAGGGGGGGCGCCGTGTCATTGCAAGGGGGGCGCAGGAAGCCGTCTGGATGAAAAAAAAAAAAAACATTAACACTGTATGCGCTGGGTTTTTTACCTTAGAATGGCCAACTCTCTGTTATTCCTATGTCAATTTGATATTGTAGAGGCTTCCATACTTCCCATATTTGTGTCCTCTGTCACTTTTATCAACAGTTAAAACTGTTTAATCCGTTGTTAACATGTCCTAACCTGTTTTTCCGATCCGCCTTTAAACGCAACATGAGCGCTACACTCGCGCTGGGTTTACACCTGTGAAGGAGACCTGCTGCTGCTGGGCGGAGCTACGTAGGTTTGTGTTAGAATCACGGCAGCAAACCAGCAAAACCCAGAGAACTTTTCACAGTTTTTCCCTCCAAACTAACCGACTGAGTTGAGTAAAGCTGTTGGATGCAGGTAAAGTTAGCTAAAAGATGACTAGCTAATATCAATACAGAACCTTAAGCTTAACAAGTACCTTGTAGGCTACCGATGTTGGTGTCTATTTCCAGCTACGTACATTCATTTTGCCCCCAAAAAAGTCGACCCCCCCTGCCCCCCTGTCACACACGTCGTTTGTAATCTATAGGGGGGAAACCACTGGGGGGGCGCAGAAGAAAAAGTTTGGGAACCACTGCTCTAAGATAATATCTCAGAGGAATAATGAACTTACCCCTTCGTTAATTAACTGTAATTAACCACTTTTCTTTTCTCTCTTTTTTTTTTAAAAGTGACAGTCCACTAAATTTTCTCCTAAGGTGAACCTCTAATTTATCCATGAAACCACATACGGACCCAGATCAACAACTAAAATACTGCAGGCCGCAATTTCCTCTGTTAAGACACAAAAACAGCATCTAGAGAAATTTTTCAGAAGAGGAAAACGGACTTACATTTATCGCAAAATATCTTAATATCCAAGAGTTTGGAGAAAAAAAGTTGTAGACAGACAAGACAAAAGTGGAATCCCTTTGTAAACTGTATCTTGTCACATCTGGCAAACATAGTGGAGGTAACTGCAATGATTTTGGGGCTCTTTTGTTGTTACTGGTACCCATAAAATGTCCTTTACGCCCACATATTAAAAAAAAATGGAAAGAATGAAGTCAGTAACTGTTTGGGTGTCTGGAAGACGCCATACAGATTAACCTGTTACGTTCGCCGCAGCTGGCCGACCTCTATGGTAGCGTCCTCAGAGTCCGCCTGGGCCGGGATACGTTGGTGATTGTGAGCGGATATAAGATGGTGAAAGAGGCCATTGTGACGCAAGCTGAGAACTTTGTGGACCGGCCGTACGATGCAATCGCCGACAGGACTTCCACCGAGCCCTCAGGTGTGAAAATATTTTGGTTTCGTTGGACAGACATGGGTAATATGAGGCATTAACATTGTCATGCCTGCATGCTTATTTCTAGCTGGTCTATTCTTGAGCAACGGCGAAAAATGGAAGAGACAGCGACGTTTTGCTTTGTCTACGTTACGTAACTTCGGTCTGGGGAAGAACATGCTGGAGCTCAGCATCTGTGAGGAGATCCGACACCTGCAGGAGGAAATAAAGAGTGAAAAAGGTGGGTTACATTCACTGTGAAATACAGCACACGTTTTCTCTTTCTTCAACCGGGTCTTTCTCTTCGTCAGGTAAACTTTTCAGCCCAGCAGGCCTCTTCAACAACGCTGTGTCCAACATCATCTGCCAGCTTGTCATGGGGAAAAGATACGACTACACTGACCACAGGTTTCAGACGATGCTGAAGTACATGTCTGAGGTGATTTGGCTGGAGGGGAGCATTTGGGGCGAAGTAAGTTCAATAACCCCGATGGAGGACCGCTCTTTGTCACACACCGCGATGTGAGAGGTTTATTGTAAAACAGGATTTGTGATATTTGTCTTTATTGTCGTCTTTTTATCTTGTCTTCAAACAGCTCTATCGGGCATTCCCCAGAGTGATGAACTATTTGCCAGGTCGTCACAACAAAATCTTCAGGATTTACAACACCATACAAGATTTCCTTCACGAGGAAATACAAGAGCACAAGAAGGACTTGGACCATAACAATCCTAGAGACTACATTGACTCTTTTCTCATTGAGATAGAGAACGTATGTCACCAATCAGAGTTATTTTGCTCTCAAACACATCCCATTTCACTCTGCTATCATTAAGCAATTTGTCTTTTGTGCGTATCTGTGCAGCAAAAAGACTCCAACCTGGGCTTCACCGAGAGCAACCTGACTTTCTGCTCTCTTGACCTCTTCCTGGCAGGAACAGAAACAACAGCCACCACGCTGCAGTGGGCTTTGATTTTCCTGATTAAAAACCCCGACATCCAAGGTTGGTGGAAGACTCGGCTCTCTAAAGTGATTACAGCTCTGCTTAAAGCTTGCATGTTTTTTCATATTGTAAAAATGCCCCGATTCACTTGTTGACACACAACAATAAAGTGTTACCTTGAGCACAAAGCTCCAGGTCATATGGCACGGATGTCAGTTTCATAAATATTCCTGAACAACTGTAATAAAGAAAAGTTTGGGTTTGGATAGGGCACTGACCTGTGGTTGCCATGGATTCATTTTGCTCACCTAATGTAAAAACTAGAGGTGCACCGATTGCAGTTTCTGGTCGATCGCCGATCTTCGATCTTTTAAAAAGTTTAACCTGCTGATTCTGATTTTGGCCGATACCGATTTTGATATCAATATAGTAAGAAAGTCATTGAGTTGGCAGCAGTGGGGCCACTATTGTTAATTGTAAACGTGCAGACATGACTTTGAGGGCCGCTCTGTCAGTCAAACCTTTCTCACCAGAGAGTAAAAGAGAACAATAGTTGATTCTTAGACATTTACCAAGTTAGATAAGATCTGTGGATCACCAGATCACCGATCTCCCAAAACGAAGGAAATCGGCTCCAATTAATCTGTGCACCCCTAGTAAAAACCCATTTCTTACATACTGTTACATTGTTTTTTTTTTGTTGTTTTTTTTCCTTATACTGTAAAAAAGTATAAAAAAGTATACATGAAGGAATACATGTCCTTCATGTATTCAGCTAACTGAATACATGAAGGACAGACAGACAGGAGTGACACAGGGTTCAAGGAGAGTACATCAGAGACCAACTCTGATGCAAAATAGGATCAATGTTTGTTACTGAGGCAGGAGCAGGTGGAGCCATGACGAGACCACCAGGGGGATTTGACAGAAAGACAGCTGCATGTATGCTGAATCATACATGGCTGAGAGAGACCTAAGCAAAAACTGACTTTGTTGTTACAGAGAAAGTCCAGGCAGAGATTGACAGAGTGATCGGACAGAGTCGCCAACCCTCCATGGCCGACAGACAGAACATGCCGTACACTGATGCTGTGATCCATGAGATCCAGAGGATGGGAAACATTGTTCCTCTGAATGGATTCAGGGTCGCTGCCAAGGACACAACTCTGGGTGGCTATTTCATACCAAAGGTAAATTTACCGAGCAACTAATAAGCGATAAGCATTTGGGTAAAAGTGTTGTTTCTACTTTTGCTTCATTCTATTTAGTGAATTTTGATGTTTTTAGGGAACATCTGTGATGCCCATGCTGACATCTGTACTGTTTGACAAATCTGAATGGGAAACTCCAGACACCTTCAACCCCGGACACTTCCTGGATGCCAATGGAAAGTTTGTGAAGAGAGAAGCATTCCTCCCGTTCTCTGCAGGTACAGCACACACGTTTCTGAGTCAAGAGTTTCCAAACTCCTTTAGCTGAATTACTGGCATCACCACAAAATGTGAGAATTACTACACGTGGCACTATTTAAAGGGAAATAAAAAGACCTTCTAAACAAGATGTTGCTTTAACAACAGATCAAAAACAATCAACCAAACTCAAATAGCCTCACTTTTTGCTAGTGCAAGTATAGTCTTACAAAAAGGGTTTAGGTCAGAGGTGATTGAAAGATCCTCACAAAGCAAGACACAGGAAGCAGTAACCCTGTCTTTACAGAGATCCTGCAGCCCATTCCCAGCTATAGATTAAAGCTAATTAATCTAAGTCCAGTTCCTCAATTTCAAAAGAGAAAGCACTTACAACTCCACTTGTTAGCATAGTTGACAAGTACTATAAGATCTGGGTAGTTGGCAAGATGTCAGAAACTGGCTTTGAAAAAAATAAATTTCCCCGCGGACCACATAACAGTCAAGAATATATATAGTTATGTTTTTCTGTGTTTGTTGTGCAGGGAAACGTGTGTGTCTTGGTGAAGGCCTCGCTAAGATGGAGCTGTTCCTGTTTTTGGTCGCCTTGCTGCAGAAGTTCACTTTCTCTGTTCCTGACGGAGTCGAGCTGAGCACTGAAGGAATCACGGGAGCGACGCGCGTACCTCACCCCTTCAAAGTGTCTGCTGAGGCTCGCTGACAGATCCGCCATTACCGTTTGATCTCCAGAGAAGAATAATGTAGAAACAATGTAGAAAAAGCTCTTAATAGTCTTAGCAGTGCTTCTTGTTCAGCAAGATTCTGATTGCATGCATCTCTACGTTATAATCTGGGTGATGGTTTCATGTAACAATATAAGCTATTAGCAAACAATACAACATACTGTGACCTGCTGACTCCTACTGGGAGTTCAGGAGCAAGAAATCCTAGATGGCAGACAAAAAACAATTCACAAGACATTGAAATACTCCTGTTGACTACAAAATATGGCAACTTATCAAATTGTGAAGTAAAGACTTGTAAACATATAATTTGATGCTTACCGCTGCATTGAAAGATACAGAAAGATGAAACGTTTGCCATTTTTAATTGTAAATATTGTTAGTTTTTTAAAGATTGGTAAACTCCTTGGTGTGATGTGAATTTTTATTTGAATTTGAAAAATAATAAATAAAGGAAGTGTGTTTTATCATTATGGGGGCTAAGAATCACAAAAATGAAAGGTTTGTGACTGCCTTGCTTTCTTTGGTCCAATACTGATACTAGCACAATATTCACTGCCAGTGAACCTTAAATGCAACAGTCCACATACTATATGTAAATAGGTTGCCAATTTTTTATTATTATTATTATTATTATTATTATTATTATTATTATTATTATTATTATTAGCTTTAGCTTACTGAAACATCTCTCACCACCAACAGCTGTCATATGCAATGTGCAAAATACACATGAAGCAGTCTAGATGCTTTGTAGTTGCACTTTAATCAAGCAGCAGTATATAACTTTAATTAAAAAAAATGTTTTCTCCATATTTGTTAAAGTTGTCACCATGTTGTGACAGTTTGCTTTGAGACAGATAAACTGTGAAAAGATCAATCTCCTCCACCTCCTCCCTGACTGAATATTACTGGCTGAAGTAACGTGCCGTTCCGACCAAAAACAACCAATCAGAACCAGGAGAGTCTTAATGCTGTCAATAAATCTTATGCTAATGTGCTAATGGCAAAGAAACAACTTATAATTACAGAAAAACCGTTTATCTGCTGTCATTGGTAGCTATGCTAACTAGACTGAGCATTGTGACAGTTCGCTATGAGACAGATAAACTGTGTCATTTTTAATTGTAAATAGGCTGTGCTAGCTACAGCATAGCACAGAGCAAGGGGGAGGGAGGATGAGCAGCCACATGATTGACGGCGCTAAAACCTGCCTCCTGCCTCTGATTGGTTGTTTCTAGATAGCACTGGGAGAAAGCCGAAGAATTTTTTTTTTTTCTCACAGATGATCTCTCATATACCATACTGTCACAACACATTGACAGTTCTAACAAATATGTAAAAACATATATTTTTTATAAAAAGTTATATAATGCAGCTTCCCTTTTTTTGGTTCCTTGCTTCGGGGAAACACTGAATTCATGTGTGTGTAGAGCCGTTTAAACAAACATGCCTTGTCCTGCCTGAGCTTCCTGCTATTCAGTTTTATCCCTCTCAACCTAAAATGTTTTCAGAGCTTAGAGCTGATATGAAACCACTGAACACAAAGGCTACCCTGGCTGTTTGCATTAGGACTAATATATTCTATCACAGGGAAGATTTTCCTATTTATAAAGACTGCAGTTAGTATTCCCTGCTGGGTTTGCTTTGGCAACAGAGAAACTTGGATCCTTTATTTGAAGCCATCAGTTCTCAGCAGTTTCCAACAACTGCTCCTTTCAGGGAACATTTACAATTCATCAAGTGGCTTGAAATAAAAAACCTGGTAACACTTTATTTGAAGGGGGTTGAATAAGGCTGTCATGACACCGTCATAAACATAACATAACACCTGTCAGGGACATCAATAAGCCTTCATGAATATTTATGACTGTTGTCATAAAGCATCATTCAGTAAATTATGACACTTTTAATACAAAGTTGACATTATTCAAAATGTCTTTGTTATGACAACTTGACATTAACCATTACTGTTTAAACTTTACCTTTAATAACATAAAGTTACCTAATTTTTAAAGTGCAATCAGTAATACTTTTATAACAAATTTATATCAGTAATGATTTCTTGGTTAATGTCAAGTTGTCATAACAAAGACATTTTGAATAATGTCAACTTTGTATTAAAAGTGTCATAATTTACCGAATGACACTTTATGACAACAGTCATAAATATTCATGAAGGCTTATTCATGTGCATGGCAGGTGTTATGTTATGTTTATGACGGTGTCATGACAGTCTTATTCAACCCCCTTCAAATAAAGTGTTACCAAAAACCTTGATCAACCTTAGTTAAGTTCATGCAAACAATTAAATTGCAATAATTAATAAGGACAATAAAACCACAACGCAACAGGCTACAAACGCTCTATAGACCAAACAGTCTATGGGCTCAGAGGGTTCATGAGAGCTCTGATAAATAATAATCCGCTTGTTACGTGAAAGTTAAAGTTGTAGTCAAAAGCCTGACGACTCAATTAATCACCCAGATTACTGGCAAAGACAAAGAAGTGAATCTGAAAACGGCTGCTCTGCCTGCACATGCACCGATGAAACAACAAAACTCAAATCTCAACATGTGTCATAAAAAGAAAACCTTTTAACAAAGACGGCTGAGACGGTTATTCTAAAGGTTTTTGATCAGAATTCATTCTTTAATAAAAGGCATTTAATAAAATTAATTATCAGATCAGAAATGTTGTTCATGCAATTTGAAACAATATACATATAAATTATGAATATATTATATGAATATAAATTATTCTAAAGTAAAATAAGTTATGTTAACTTGATATTGAGTAAAAAAATAACAGAGAGGTGTGTTCTCTTTAACTAGGCGGGGACAGTTTTTTCTTGTGAAATAATTGTTTTCAATTGCAGCAATAAGTTAAAAATCACAATTCAAGATTAGTAAAGTTTAAAAATAAGGTTTAGACAACTTGTCTCTTGCTGTTAAATCGACTTCATGAACTTTGACTTAAATTGCACGATCAGTGCAGCAGGTGGACTTTCATTTTCAAGTTAAACTACCTTCAAATGTTTCACAGTGCTTGTTGGTTCCTTCCAGTTCAGTCGTGTTTCATTCTTTCTGCCTTTTCCTTTTGTTAAAACAAAGATTTGAGCCGTCATGCATGTGGATTCCCCTTCTTACCGTCAGTCTCTAATGTCATAAACACAAAGGTCTGCACTTAACCTTAACTAATGTAGTTAATTTCAGAATGGGCACAGTCTCGTAAATGTATGCAATCATGCTGCTGAATTAATACTTTGAATAGTAGCTTTTATTACACTGGTATTACAGAGGTTAGCTTTGTTGGGGCTGAGGAGGTAGAGTTAGCAGGATGTTATATAAGCCCTCCCTCCTTTGTGGAGTCTACATTATGTTTACATTGCAATCCTGTTGACTGAGCTGGGGGTGTTTGACACATAAGACTTTTCAGAAGCCCAGATGCTGCTTCACACAGCCAGAAGATAACTGTGACTCCTGCAGACACTTCCTCCATTGCAGCTAATCATGTGGTTTTATAATCTTTTGCTGAGCATCAACGTGAAGGGGCTTCTCCCGTTCGTTTTCCTGTTCCTTCTGATAGCAGACTTCTACAAAAGCAGAAAACCAGCTAATTTCCCTCCAGGACCAAAGGCTCTACCCTTTGTGGGGAATTTCTTCAGCTTGGAAAGCAAACATCCACACATTTATTTCCAAAAGGTACCTATTTACCGGCTTAGAGGTTACAGCCTGCATTGGTGTGAGTGCATGCATGTATGGTCATGTTCTCCGGAGAAATGTCATATTACCTTCATCAAAACTTAAAATATACATTTAAAGATGTTTTGGAAAGATGTGCTTTTGAACAGTTTAGCTTTGGACGTTTTCAGTGGGTGTCTGCTCTGCTTAAAGCTTGTTTTAGAATTAAGTGTCTTACAGCAAAACTCTGAATTGCTGCGAAGCAGAGCTTCATTTGTTGCAAAGTCTAAACATTGGGGCTCAAAAGATCCCTGCAAATGAACTGAAACAGTTTCTGACACCCTGTGGCTGAGATACAAAGGTGCATCTCATTTTTATTACATCTAGTGAAAACTATTACAGAGAATGTAGATAATATCACAAAAGACTGATTTGAAATAGTGTCAGGGCCTTTACAGTGGTTTGGAAAACTGCTGACTTGACAGTCATTGACAAACTCCACAAAATGTCATTGCTAATAAAATAAAATAAAAGCTAGCTGTTCAGATTGCTGTGCAGAAGCACATCAATGGAAAGTTAAGTGGGAAGAAAAAGTGTCAAAAGCACCAATACCCGTTTTAGTGTCCATGCTGTCACTTAGGAAACACATTCGACCTGAAACAAATTAAGAATCTGGATATCAGACACCAAACAATTTTGAATGGTGTCAAATTTTGTTCATTTACTTGATTGGTTGGTTGGTTTGATTTATGTGTCATATCATGTGGGTTTTCATGTGGGTTTTTGTTTTGTTTTGTTTTATGCTTAAGTGTCGGTTTTCCATTGTTATGTTTTCCACAGTTGGCTGACATCTATGGGAACGTCTTCAGCTTCCGGCTCGGCCGGGAATCGATTGTGTTTCTGAGCGGCTACAAGGCTGTGAGGGAGGCGCTGGTGACCCAAGCTGAGAACTTTGTGGACCGACCTTTCAACGCCATAACCGACAGGTTTTACACTGAACCTTCAGGTGTCAGATCTTTTGATTTGTCAATGCATTTTGTACAAAAATAGCTTAGATTAACTAAATATATATACTTTTTACTTCTGCTGAAAAATATCCAGCTGGTCTGTTTATGGGCAACGGTGAAAAATGGAAAAGACAGCGACGTTTTGCTTTGTCTACGTTGCGCAACTTCGGTCTGGGCAAAAACTCACTGGAACAGAGCGTTCATGAAGAGATCCGACACCTGCAGGAGGAAATAGAAAGTGAGAAAGGTGGGTTATGATGAGCATTGCATGCTCCCTACTCGTGGCATTGCACATAGCACACCGTTTTTAATCTGAGATCTCCCTTCCGTCAGGTAAACCTTTCAACCCAGCAGGCCTCTTCAACCTTGCTGTGTCCAACATCATCTGCCAGCTTGTCATGGGGAGAAGATACGACTACACTGACCACAAGTTTCAGAGGATGCTCAGGTGCATGTCCGAGGCGGTTATGCTGGAGGGGAACGTCTGGGGTCAAGTAAGTTAATCAACACAAAGTGAAATAGTCTCTGCATCACTGTCTGGTTTGTTACAAAAAGTGAGTTTTAAAACAAGTGGTATCGCCAATTTGACCTTTTTTCTTTCGAGCAGCTCTACTTGGCATTTCCCAGTGTGATGAGATACATGCCGGGTCCTCACAACACGATCTTCAGCCACTTCACCACTGTGGAGCAGTTCATTAGTGAGGAAGTAGAGCGGCACAAGAAGGACCTGGATCCCAGAGACTACATCGACACTTTCCTCATCGAGATGGAAAACGTACGTGGGCATTGGTATCAAAGCTAGCTCACCCTGAAACAATCTGTTCTATAAAGATGTAAAACATCAAATGAGACAAGTCTGTTTTTTTTGTTTTTCTTATTTTGTGGCAGCACAAAGACTCTAACCTGGGCTTCACGGAGGCCAATCTGGCTTACTGCGCCATTGATCTCTTCCTTGCTGGAACAGAAACTACAGCCACCACGCTGCTGTGGGCGTTGATTTTCCTTGTGAAATATCCTGATGTTCAAGGTGGGTTTCAGAGAGCTGAACGTGTCCGGTCAGAGTATTGGTTTGATGTAAAATTATTACAACAATTGTCTTAAGTTTCATGAGGCACTCAAACACTTCTCAGGTTTCCTTCTCAGTACATGTTTCACAGAGGACACTCGCTGGCGGCGCACCGCCTCCACCATCTATTTCCCATGTAAATTATCTACATCTTCCCTGGAAATAACTAACTGAATGAACAATGTGATGATGGCTTACAGATCCTATGAAACAGCTGACGCATAAACCACTGTCTCTTGCTTTAGCTTGCAGTCACTTTGGCTGCCTCCATTGGCGTCGGTGCTTCTCTGGCTAGCTGTTAGCTTCAACTACCAGAACCAACTAATCTGGATTTATCTTAAATGAAAATATCTACAGAGTAATCCACTGCTGGACGGGATTTAGCTGTTTAGTTTCACTGAAGCTTGATTATAAATCTAAAACTCTCATTTTAAGTTTGACTAAAATAGAGAAGAACACGTGTTTTGGTTAAACTTAAAATCAGATGGTACCGTCAATTAATTTAACCCTTGTTTTGAACTTAATTTTTATCATCTCTACTTAATAATACAATTACAGACAATTACCACAACTGGCTTTTACGTGCAACAGAGAAGTGCTTAGTCCAGTATTTCACCTTCTCTAATTCTTTAGACTCCAGCAGACAAAAGTCACGTTAAGCCAAATTACACTCAATCCATCAGAAAAGCGAAGATCAAAACCCTCCTCAAATGACTTTCAGTTTCTTGATTTATTCTGTTTTCAGAGAAAATACAGGCGGAGATCAACAGAGTGATTGGACAGACCCGCCTGCCCTCCATGGCCGACAGATCCAGCATGCCGTACACCGACGCCGTAATCCATGAGATCCAGAGGATAGGAAATATACTTCCTCTTAATGGAATGAGGGTGGCTGCAAAGGACACGACTCTGGGTGGTTACTTCATCCCAAAGGTAAAATGGCTGCACAGACAAGTGTTTCTACTTGTTTTGGGGAGTTTTGTCTTAAATATCTTTGTGTTCCACTTTGGATTTTTCAGGGCACATCTTTGATGCCTGTGCTGACCTCAGTTCTGTTTGACAAATCTGAATGGGAAACTCCAGACACCTTCAATCCCGGACACTTCCTGGATGCCAATGGGAAGTTTGTGAAGAGAGAAGCATTCCTCCCGTTCTCTGCAGGTATGTGCTTAAAGATTAAGCGTGGAGAATCTTTTGACAGCTATCAGACATGCTCTCCACAAACGCAGCCGGCATAGAGAACTGGCTAAAGGGAAGATATGACTGTCTTGAGTAATCACATTCAAAGTTTACCCCAAGACACATAGAAGGCACAGCAAACATGAAAAAGGAGGTTCATGTAAGATGAATACAGTAAATATAAAATATGTGTGGCCAAAAACTACAAGTAAAAATGACCCTGGCATTTCTACATACAGAGTAAAATGATGTAGCAAGCTTTTCTTTAGCAGAAATATAGAAAGTTGACAGAGTTTATACTTGTTAGAGGATGCAAAAGACTTTTGCAGACTGAGGCAAAGATTCATTTTCCCCTTTATCATTTATTACATAAAGTAAGTGGTTTTATGTAAGATGAAGGTATAATATCAAATCATGTCAATTTAACTCAAGCCACCGATCACTATCTGCTAGGACAAATCATCCAATGTTGTTGATCAGAGTTTAACTTTAATTGTTGGACGTTAAGCTAAGGGCACATAAAAATCTAATCTGGTTTTATATGAACTTAGATGTTTAGCCATGGGTCTGTGTTCACCCTGCAGGAAAACGGGCTTGCCTCGGTGAAAGCCTCGCCAAGATGGAGCTGTTCCTGTTTTTGGTCGCCTTACTGCAGAAGTTTACTTTCTCTGTTCCTGACGGAGTTGAGCTGAGCACTGAGGGAATCACTGGAACGACACGAGTGCCTCATCCCTACAAGGTGTCTGCTAAGGTCCGCTGAGCTGAGGACTTTTCACCAGACCTGGTCTGACTAAAAAAAAAAAAAAAAAAAAAAGACTGGGCATAATGGTTTTGCAGACAACTTTGACATCAACCTTTTACTGCTGCCTTACTTCTTCCTCTGATTATACCATTTAGCTATGTATGACAGTTAATAACAATGTAACATGTAATCTCTTAGAAAAATATAAGTGCAAGCTTTTTGAAAATAACAAAGATTTGTTATTATTATTTGCATTGTGAACATTGTTCATGTACCAGTCGTGTGTAAAACACAATATATTACTGATAACATAAAGGGAATGCTTTTGAGAGAATGTTCATTGGATATCTATTGTCCTCAAAAAAAAAAAAAAGAATTAGAATATAGAAACGTGTGATACTTTTGTTGTTTAAACAAAATTAGATTTATTACTGTGTGGATTTAACATTATTATGAATTATAATGTACGAACCGTTGGAGAGGAAGGGTTCTCCTTTGTCACTCACACAGAAATGTCTCCAAGATTTCAGGAGGTAACAAAGTGTTTTGCCCTTTGGAACATTTAAATAAACTGGATATGGTATAATTTCTGTGTGGAAAAAGGTAAAACAAATAAAAAGAGAGAGATAAATGTATATGTCCATCGTTCAGCTGCCTAATAAAGTGCTTTGTACATAAAATTTTATCTTGGATTTCCCCTCTAACACTTCATCATAAATAATTGCGGAACATTTGTTTTAATACCTGAATTATATTTGGACAGGAGTATTTCCATACACATTATGCCTCACACCTGGATTGCATCTGTGGGTGATTAACAGGTGAGGTCATGCAATCATTTAGATCAGCTGTTCTGAAATAGAGAGACTGAGGCAAAGCAAGATGGAGTGGTCCGATGGTCTGCCCTCTGAAGCATCGGAACTTCCTGAAGGACTGGTGTGGACATGTCCCCACCAACTTTGGTCAGACAGGGACAGTCTCCACCAATATTTCCCACACCTTTCATTTATGTGCCTGCATCTATTTGCGTACAGTAACTCGTTAGCAGCTGCACCCTGTATTCAAAGCATTAAAAGCCAGCTAAACTCTGGATAAGATGAAGGGTGACAAAGTGGCTCAAGTATCTGCAGACAAAAAAAAAAAATCATCCTCATAAAAATGTCTAAAGTCAAAGAAACAGATTGTGAAAACTCAGCTGCATGTTGATCTGCAGAACAGGGTAGGCACAGCCAGCTGTTGGGAGTGCAGTCACTGACTGGACTCTCCAGTGTTCAGAGTCGTGAGCATTCGTGCACCCAGGGGTGGGAGAGGACTCCCTCCATGGGCAACCTGTGCATGAGATTGTGCTGCAGCAGCTTGAATGTGAGGTTGATTAGTCACTTAAGGCCAACTGGTTCTCCAAATGATGCTATTCCACCCCAATTATTTAAAGATGTTTTTCCTACTATAGGTCCTTCTGTCCTTGCTCTTGTAAATAGCAGCTTGTCCTCAGGTGTTGTTCCTGAAACTCTGAAACATGTAACTCTACTTAAACCAACCTTGGATCCTACTGTTCTGGCAAATTATAGACCTATCTTTAAACTGCCTTTTATTTCAAAAATTCTTGAGAAGGTAGTCTATAATCAGCGAATGGATTATCTTAATGAACATAATATTTTAGAGGTTTTTCAGTCTGTTTTTAAACCATTTCATAGCACCTAGTCAGCTCTTTTAAAAGTTTTTAATTATATACTTTTAGCAACTAATTCTGGTGACTGTGTTGTCTTGGTGCTGTTGGATTTATCAGCTGCTTATTTTTGATACATGGCATTTTACTTTCTCGTTTGGAGCAGTGGGTGGGCATTGGTCACATAGTTCTGGATTGGTTTGAATCTTATTTGGCTGAGCGTACTTTATGTGTCTGTCTTGATGCCTATAGGTCTCCCTCTGCTTCACTGTCGTGGCGTCCCACAGGGCTCAGTTAATCTCAGGGCCCTCTTCTTTTTTTGTTCCTTCCTATTGGCTCTATTTTTGGAATATATGGGATTATTTTTCATTGTTATGCAGATGACACTCAGATATATTTACTACTAAAGAACTCCACTTCTCTTCGGTCTCTGTTTTAATGTCTGTAAGATTTGAAGGCCTGGGTGGCCCTAAATTTCTTGAAACTTAATGAAGATAAGACGGAGGTAGTGGTTTTTGGCAGATCCACTGTAGATTCCCTGACCAATCTTTGCTCCTTGGCCCAGGATGTCAAGCTGGTTATTACAAATTTAGGGGTTAAGAAGGATGCTGGTCTTAAGCTGGAAGCACACATTAGAGCCGCTGTAAAATCCAGCTTTTTCCACTTAAAGCAGCAAGTCAAAGTAAAACCTATTCTTCCCAGACAGCACTTCGAAAGAGTGATCCACGCAGTTGTGACCACATGGCTGGATTACTGTAATGCACTTTATATAGGAGTGAGTTATTTATATATTTCACAGCTTCAGAGGGTACAAAATGCTGCTGCACGTTATTTAACAAGTACATGAAAATTTGACCACATTTCCCCTATTTTAGCTTCTTTACACTGGTTGCCAGTACATTATAGGTTTCATTTTAACTCTTAACAGCCTCCCTCTCCCTCCACATCTGCCACATTCATACACACCCTCCCGCATTTCCCCAAAAGTCTTGAACGAATTCAAATTCACAAAGGATTTTAGCACAATTGCAGACACACCCTGAAATCCCATGAGAGATAGATTACAGCTGGTTACATCACACTTGTACAATGGAGGTTCATGGAGAGGCAGGTGGGGGTGGTCTACAGAGTATTATGTAACTCCTATTTATACTGAAACTCATGTTTCTGTTGTCAGACAAGCACTGACTTGCTTCAGTCGAGATATCTCAGTCAATTCTCCACAGACTGCATAGAAACAGCGGGTGGAAAACCCAGATTGCATTTCTTCTTCTGCCGCCTGTTTGGATCTCCAACCATGTGGTTCTATGATGTTTTCCTGAGTTTGGACGTCAAGGGGATTCTTTTGTTTATGTTTTCCTTCCTTTTGATAGCCGACTTCATTAGGAACCGGACACCAGCAAACTTTCCTCCAGGACCGAAGGCTCTCCCCTTTGTGGGGAACATCTTAAGTTTGGACACCAAATACCCTCATGTTTATTTCAGCAAGGTATGGATTATGAAGACATAATTTATTAAGATATTTTAACCCTAAGACTTGAAAATAAGATAAATATGCCTGTAGAGATTTCCTGTGAAATGCAAGCATATTTTCAGAAATGATAATTTCAGCTAAGAAATAGGAACCGATTTTAATTTGTAGTAGACGGGTCTTGTGATAACATCTGTACGAATCTCGCAAAATCTGGCCTCAAAATATTTTACAACCACATTATGCAATAACCAATGCAAAATGTAATAAAATAGTTTTGCAATACTTCCTGCACTTGTATCATTAATACATTTTGCAGGAGCGTGGTATAGGGGGGGAAAGTGATGACAATTTTAGGATCCCTGACCAACAGGGGGCCCTTCACAATTGATTTTTTTATTTGTTAATTGAATAAAAAATTGGGCCCTGTTAATTACAAAATTAAGCATATTGTATTTTCAAAGATTGTCTTTAGCAGTAAAAATGTAACGTTCCCACTCCCAGACCACAAAACACACATCCATATTTACCATGAACCCCCCTTCTACTGCATGAAATGATCATCCTTCCTCCCTCTCTCTCTGTGCTATTCTGCAGCTAGCATAGCCTGTTGCAAATGCTTTGTCTACTAAGCATTGCTACAAATGACAGCAGATAAAGGATTTTCCTGTAACAATAAGTTGTTACAGTTGATTGACTGCGCTAAGACCCTCCTCCTGGTTCTGATTGGTTGTTTTGGTCAGAACGTTGCATTACTTTAGCTAGCAATAGTAGTCCAGGAAGGAGATAGAGGAGATTGATTGTTTTCACAGATTATCTGTCTCATAACAAACTGACATGGTAACAGCTTTAACAAATATGGAGAAAACATATTTTTTATTAAAGTTATGTACTGCAGCTTGAATAAAATGCAACTACGTAGCATTTTTTGAGAAATCTGGATTGCTTCTTGTATGTTTTGCATGTTGCCTATGACTGTTGTTCATGGGGAGACATTTCAGTAATCTAAAACTAATAGAAAAAAAAAAAAGCAACCTACTTGCATGCTTTATGCAGACTATATCCATGCTGAATTTTACTCTTGCATGTAAAATTCATGAGCAGTAAATACTACTCAGTACTCAGTATTGGACCAAAGAAAGTAAGGCAGTTGCAAGCCTTTGAAATTGTGACGCTTTTGATGGGTCAGATAGACTCAAGAAATTGAAACAGCAGCTGCGTGGGAGGAGGGGGGGCAATTAAATATTTTTTTCAGGGGGCCCAAGATTCCTCGCAGCGCCCCTGTTTGTGCCGATTATTACAAAATGGGAAGGTGGAGCTTTTTTTTTTTTAAATGACAATAATTTGGCGCTTTATGTACTAAACAATCACAAACTGTTTGGGTTCATCCTAATTGTACTTTTGATACTACGTTTTAGATGCTATAGGTATTTAATTTTAAATTTTGGTCAATAATTGGTGATCTTTTGGTCATCTTTTTTCCTTTCTAGCCAGAAGCTTTGGCATTAACTGATTCAAAATGTGTTGAAGAACTGTCAGAGGAATAGAGGGAGACAGAGAGATTGCGTCAACTATTACATATTGCGGTTCTATTATTTTCCTGCATTTTAAAACCCCAATTTTATTTCATTAAAATTCATATTACAGCGTTACATAAAGCGATGGTGCAGATTAAATTCGTCATTCAGTATTACATTCAGGATCTACAGCAAAGTCTCGAAGAGCAAAATCAAATGTCGTTTTTAATTTAAAGACGTTAACTGCAGGACGTGATTTTAATGAAAACACGTAGATGGTGACACCATCTGGCTGAACTGTAAGTGCACAAGCATATATTGGTAAACTGTTTTATACAGTATCTCTGCCTGCTGCACTTTCACCTGTAGCCTTATTTGTTTCCATTTTTCCACAGTTGGCTGACATCTACGGGAACGTCTTCAGCTTTCGCCTCGGCCGGCAGCCCGTGGTGATTGTGAGCGGCCACAAGATGGTGAAAGAGGCCATCGTGGCACAAGCCGAGAACTTTGTGGATCGGCCGTTTAATGCAATCTCTGACAGGTTTTACACTGAGCCCTCAGGTGTGAAATCAGTTTCTATTTCTCGGTGCACAATATATAAACTGTGAGCATGAAGGGCTAATGTTTAAATATTTGTGGACTTGTATCTAGGTGGTATTTTTTTAAGCAATGGAGAGATATGGAAGAAACAGAGACGTTTTGCTTTATCTACTTTACGCACATTTGGCCTGGGCAAAAACACACTGGAGCTCAGCATCTGTGAGGAGATCCGACACCTGCAGGAGGAAATAGAGAGTGAGAAAGGTAGGATAGATGCAATGTAAATGGCTCTTTACTGATATCAATGTGCAAGGCTTTTTTTTAATACATACTCTTAAAATACAGGTAAACCTTTCAGCCCAGCAGGCCTCTTTAACAATGCCGTCTCCAACATTATTTGCCAACTTGTCATGGGAAAGAGATTTGACTATAGTGACCACGAGTTTCAGACAATGCTAGAGTGCATGTCCGAAGGGCTTATGCTGGAAGGAAACATATGGGGTCAGGTAAGCCAGCTAACTGAATGAATCACTTATTCTGACAGGTGAGATTTTTATTATGTCGTTTATTATTTCTGTGGATACAAACAGCTTTATGACGCATTTCCTCAAGTGATGAAATACCTGCCAGGTCCTCACAACAAAATCTTTAGCAATTATAACGCAGTAAAAGACATGCTTCTTGAGGAAATACAAAAGCACAAGAAGGATCTGGATCCCAGCAACCCCAGAGACTACATCGACACTTTCCTCATTGAAATGGAGAACGTACGTAGACCACCACCACTGAAGCTGCTTCCCCTTAATCAAAATGGTTTCTGTCCAGCTGTGAATCATTAACCAACCTGTGTTTTTATGTTGGTGCAGCACAAAGACTCCCTGGGCTTCACCGAGGGCAATCTGGCTTTCTGCGCTTTTGACCTCTTCATTGCAGGAACAGAAACAACAGCCACCACGTTGCTTTGGGCTTTGCTTTACCTAACAAAATACCCTGAAGTTCAAGGTGAGTGACTTTGTACAGCGCCTTTCAAAAGTAACAACACACCTTGAATGTCTCACATTTTGTTGCATTGTGACCACAAACCTTAGGGACATAACGTGTTAGACCCACACAGTCACACACCCTGCATTACTGAAAAAGTCAAAAAATTACCTTCAGATGTCCAGTTTTAATAAAACAATGATAAGAGATTTTAGTTGATATATTTACTAACCTGCACTCGCAGAATAAGGTATCCTGACTAATTTGGTATGAATGCAAACAGATGCTAAACTTTTTTTATTTTTGGTTTATAAACAATGATGAAACCATGCATAATTTTTCTTTACTTTTAACAATTATGCTCTACTTTTTCTTAGTCTATTACACAAAATCAATTAAGACAGTAAAATAAGTGCCTGTAATTTGACACCAATGTGAAAAAGTTTAAGTGGCGTAAATGATCCACTTATGACTGTAGGAAGGCCTTATGACAACTTAAACTTTTCCTGAACAAAAATGAAAATGTATTGTTAATAGTTGTTTTTTTTGACACTACCTTGGATAAAAAAAAGCAGCTAAATATAATTTAAACATTTTCACTTAAAATGATGAATTAAGTTCAGCAACTTAAAAATCTCAAATTGTACCGATTGCACACTGGTCAAAGAGCTGCACCATCAGGGAAGATCTGCAAGTCAAGTGTAATGGAAAGGTACTGAAAATGTTACTTTCCAAAGTTAAAAGGTTCAGCAGAGAGCTCAGCTGTGTCTACTGTCTCAATGATATGAATCAAAGTAAAACTCGTGCCTTGTTTTAAATGGAGAAAGGAAATCTGAGCCTAATTCCTCATATTTAAATCCTTTCACAGAGAAAGTCCAGGCAGAGATTGACAGAGTGATCGGACAGAGTCGCCAACCCTCCATGGCCGACAGACAGAACCTGCCGTACACTGATGCTGTGATCCATGAGATCCAGAGGATGGGAAACATTGTTCCTCTGAATGCACTCAGGGTCGCTGCCAAGGATACAACTCTGGGTGGCTACTTCATTCCAAAGGTAAATTTACTGAACAGTAAACAGTTCATGTATTAAAAAGTGTTTTCTCATCAATGTTTGTGTTCCACTTTGGATTTTTCAGGGAACATCTGTGATGCCCATGCTGACATCTGTACTGTTTGACAAATCTGAATGGGAAACTCCAGACACCTTCAACCCCGGACACTTCCTGGATAGCAATGGGAAGTTTGTGAAGAGAGAAGCATTCCTCCCGTTCTCTGCAGGTACAGCACATGTGCTTCAAGTTTAAGGGTGGAGAATCTTTTGACAGCTATCAGACATGCTCTCCACAAAGATAGCCGGCATAGAGAACTGGCAACAAGGAAGATATGGCTGTCTTGAGTAATCACATTCAAAGCTTATCATTGGAGCTACCTCACATTGAAATGCTGGTGAAAAGGTTGTTAAAGGGTTAATAGAGGAAACTGTTGTGATGACTTCCTGACGGCGAAGGTTTGGAAAGAAGAACTTTCTTAAAGAAATAGAGGTCCAATGTCAAGGCATGAAATTATGACTTCAAATTCAAAAGTGATATTTTATACTTATGGTATTTTTTATAACAACTGAAGGTAACATAGTTACTTGATTGTACTTCACAATGGCACTATGAGCCTGGAAAACGCATAAAATCTTTAATCAAAACTATTTAGTGCTGAGTTTATGACATTTTGAACAAATATCTCTGTCTTCACATTAAAAAGATGGTGTGTGTCTTTGTTTGCCCTGCAGGGAAACGTGTGTGTCTTGGTGAAGGCCTCGCTAAGATGGAGCTGTTCCTGTTCTTTGTTGGCTTACTGCAGAAGTTCACTTTCTCTGTTCCTGA